AAAAAGAAGAGACGAGAGTTCTTTGCTTTTCGTACCTGGAGAAGCCTGAGATTTGTAAAGAGTGGCTGGTTTTGGTTGCAGAGCGTATTTTTTTGGGAGACTTTTAGCTGAGCGTGCAAACCAGCTTCATTCTCAATAACCACAATTATTTTGCAGAATTGTAGGCTCCTCTCAACTCTCCTTTCTGACTCTGCAATAGTGGAGCGGTACTGAGGAACTGGCTTTTCCTTTTAGCCAAGTTAGAAAAAGTGTAAGTTCGTGCCTCAGCTGTCACCAGTTGTTTGGTTGCGGACACCCTGCACAGAAGTCTGAATTGCCCCTTAATTTCTGTGTGTCGTTTCCTTTCCTCCCTTCCCCCTCTTAACATGGATTCCTACGACTCTTAGTCACCCCCTGAGAGGTATTGCTTATCTTCTGCTTATCTCTGATCTAGATTTTTTTCCCCTCTTTCTTAAAATGCCTAGATGGGGAATGCAGAATACGTGGCTCTCTGGACGACAAGTACCTATCATCCATCACTAGTGACATGAGTAGATGGGACCTGCAGTCCAAAAACACTGGAGGACCACAAGTTGCTTTTGTCCCCACAGTATACGTACCTTGCTCTCATTAACCTCCAAATTCCATAGGCCATTTTGGCAGGTTCTGCTAGATGGGGAAGCATGCCTGTTGTAAAGAAAAGTTAGTCACTCTATCCATGTTTATACAAACCCTGCCCAAATGACTTTTTTTATATACAGTATATAAAATGAAAGGTGGTGATTCTCATATAGATAAGAAAGGGAGACAGAGGCCTGCAGAGAACAACAAAGGCACTGCAGAGTAACAGAGCCACCAGCCTGTCCCTCAAGCTTAGATCCTAGATTCAGGATCATTAGTTACATCCCACCTTTCCTCCCATGACCTCCAAGTGGTATACATGGTTCTCCTCCAACACACTTTATCCTCATAACAACCTTGTGAGGTAGGTCAGGTTGACAGAGAATGACTGATCCAAGATCACCCTCAGCAGGGACTTGAATCGGGATCTCCAAATCTCAGTTCAAGATTATAACCATTACATGTGCTGGCTCTCAGTGAATGAGACGTGCAAATTTCTGAACCGAAATTGGTGCCAACGTGGGGCATAAATCCTTATTGTTGTAATTTATAAATTGAGGGCCTGTTCCTGTTTGGTTGTAGACTGTTAGGTGCAACTGAAGCCAATATGTACATCACAACAGATTTTCAAAAGCCATAGTAGAATTCTGAATGAGCCAGAAAGTTGGTGCCACCACCCAAAGGAACCCTTGTGCCCCTGGCATCATTCCTTTTTTTAGAAATCTGGAGGAAAAGGGCAGGCGATGTGCGTGAGCACATTGGAAATGATTACGTACCTAAAGCCATTGATTACTGGAGACCAACTGTTCTACATCCTGTCCTTGACAGAACAGTAGGAAGTGTGACAGGAAATCTGAATAAACTTTCAGCGTGTGACTGAAAAGGTTAGGCAGTATAGACATCACAGTCATTATCCAGACGTAGACATAACTATTCTCTCCCTCAACTTCTAAGAGCAATAAATATAACAGTGGGTCATCTCTCTGCTTTCCCCAGAGATTTGCTGCACTGACTCTGAGCATTAAAAACTATGTAGGTGAAGCAGCAGGAATTATGTTTTATAGGGTCTCTTGATCTAAAATAAGAGAGAATTCTTTTCAGTGAAAACCATTTAGCAACCCTGTCTTTTGTCTTCTTCTCCTGGTGTTTGCCTTTATACACTTTCCCCCTCCACTTTGCTTATTTGGGGCTCCTGTTATTCCTGTTAACACCCTTGGTCATTTTCTATATTCCCTTGCTTCTGCATATATTCGCCAGCTCCTCAACTTCCCTTTTCTACTACTGTATCTGCATATTTTCCCCATTATCCCTCGTCTGGATCCCTAAAAAGCTCTCGTCTGAGGAGAAATGGTGAGACACACTTGGTGTTTATAATGCTGCCTGTGTGCTTGTTTTTGTACTCCACCTAAATACTTGCTCAACCCCTCTTTTTGAAATTAAATAAGTTATTACAAAGAGACTTTAACTATCTCTTGCTGCATCCTTCAAAGTTTTTATTAAAGCTTCTGTGAAATTCCCATTGCTCAACAAAGGTATTCCATGATCTGAAGCAATATCGATACTGGCACAACTTTAGTTCATGCTCATTTATGTATTCTGCATTTTATATTGCATCAAAGTAAACAATTTATGGAAATTTGTTCTATAAATGCCTGAGGTAAGCAAGAGATCATAGTAGATGGTCTTTTCCTTCCTTTTCACAAATGGTCAGAAGGCAAGAGAACACTGCCAAATATACTAAGCAGTTTATAATATTAAGCAGTTTATAGGAATCTCATTCAATCAACAGATTTCTCGGGATCTAGTATCTTTCCATCTCTTCTCTTGCTCTCTGAGAGTCTAAAGTTCTCCTTTTACATTCATCACACAAAGAAATTAAAAAGATCAAACAATCTTTGGTTTATAGTCATTACTAGTAACGTATGACATAGTTTTCACTGACATGGTACACCAGTGTCTAGGCTATTGTGTCACTTTAGATATGGAAGTGCATTCACATGACTGAAAAGACTTCCACAGAGGGAAGGAAATTGTTGCACAAAAAAGCTAAGTGTATCAAAGAGAACTACTCTTCTCTGTGTGCGTATGTGTAAAGAATAGGATGTCATACCAGGACTCTGCAGTATGGCCTAACTAGTAGTTTACTATTTCATTGAGAACTGAGCATATATGCATTTTTTCAACCCATTTCTTCATTCTTTCCAATAGTGCCATTAGTACCATCATGCATTAAATTCAATGCCCTCATCAGTGCTTGCATTGAGAAAGCTTTGTACATGCATCTATAGTATGTATACCATATAGGATTCTCTCTTGTTTCTTCTTGTATTCAGTTCTGTTTCACATGTGTTTGTAAGTGTGTAAGGGATAACACACCTCAAATAAGCCACAGATTTTGCTGTGTTGATCATAGAGGTCAGTCCTAAATAATTGTTAGCTGCTGTCTCATGACCTCTGAATCTGTCATGAAACCAGACAGGCAAACAAGCAACTGTTTTGTTGTTGCTGTAATTTATGAACTCTAGACAGAATCTGTCATGAAACCAGACAGGCAAACAGGCAACTGTTTTGTTGTAATTTATGAACTCTAGACGTACAGAACTCTGGAACCCTCTTTGTACTCAATCACCAACCACAGGTCCAGCATCCCAACGTATCTGTCCCATCATGCAAGAAACCACTACATAGTTATCTAGCCATTATGAAGAGGCCACTCCATCTGAGACCTTATCCTATCTTCTGCTTAGTTCTTCTCAGTAACATTGTTCAGACACAGAACTGGTGTCATGAATCACTTTCCTGTCTGCATATTCATGTAAACGTTTGCTTTGGGCAATACACACTATCTTAGAGACCCATACACTGCTATATATCTTAAGTCACCCACATGCTTCTCTCTGAGGGTCAGTAGTATGTGAGGAAATTAGTAGCCTATGTTAAATCTCTTGTGGTTTCGAACTGTGTGAAGCCCAATGGTAAAGCAAGAGAGGCTCACAAAAGAAGCACCATTGCTGATTCAAATCTAGAATGTTGAAAATAAAGAAAGTGTTTCCTTCTATAGAGGAGGTTATGTAAATGGATTAGAAGTAGGCCATTATCACTATGCACAGTAGTGTGTAAAGTGTTATAGCCAATAAATGTAAAGAAGTATTCTACTAAGAAAAACATCCATTTGTAAATGTGAGATAGGAATATTCTTTCTATTAAGTCACTGGCTGCCATGTCTAAGCCAAAACCATTTGTTATGATACACTAAACCTCATACAGAACCTCTTTTGAAACTTGTACTGGTTGTCTTTACTGGTGCAGCTCTGTAAATCCTTGGCATTTGTTGAATAAATTTTGGGGGAGGATCATTTATTTATTTTGGAAAGCCAGCAATAGGTGTGGAATCCTTTTTAAAAAAATCAAATGGAACACATTCTGCAAAGAGTCCATTCTAGTAAGGTGGTTGCAAATATATTGTGCAGACATAATCCACTTGTTAAGGACCATCTCCAGTCTATAAAGTAAAGATGTACAGCTATTTTCAGGATATATTCTTTGTTTCCTAGCCAACCATGTCTCTTTTGCCTTGTCTTGTGCTGAATATGAAATTTGGAATGAAAAAGTTGGTGAGAAGTTGCCATGTGTCATATAGAATGAATTCTAGCACTATAAAATGAGTGCTCCCATTTCAAGCCATCATCATTATTATTTCCTTAAATAAAAATCTTGAAAATTTCTTAAATAACCCTTACAGAAATAAATACAAAAATACATTCTGTTCCTGAACATCTGTTATGGAAAAGGATACATAAAAGATATGTAGGAGAAAGAGAATGTGACTCTAAGAAGGTCAGGACACAATGCAAAGTGAAAATCATTTTGACCCTTCTTATACCTATTAGGCAAATCCCCATCTGCTGCTAAGAACATCACTGAGAAAAATTCAGGCAATTGGGCCTTTCATCCTTGATTATTCGCCTTACTGAGCTTTGTGAACAACAAGTTCTGGAACTTCCAGCCATTTCCTTCCTGTGCTGGCTGCAGTTCCATCATGACCATTATTGTTATTAAGCTCAGCATTGTGAGAGTCAGATAAAACCAGGGCTTTGTGGACTATTCCCATCTGTTTCTACTGCTGACCCTGGCCTTAAACATTAACTCAAAGTACTTGTGTCATGGAAGCCTGTCTTCCATCCAGTTCGGTCTGGGTCAAACTATCTGGCACAATTCACAACATATTAGAAACAAAACTTCCTTAAGAGATAAAAAAATATTTGTTTATCCTAGTACAACTTCCTCAACCACATTTGGCAAATGAGCCTTGTTTTTGTTTGGTGATTGATCATTGTGAGGTAAGCAAAGGCTTCATTTGTAAACATGATTGTGCAGATGCCACAGCTTTGAAGAAATTCATCTCTGAAGGGATACAGTTTTATCACCTTCTAATAGTAAATTTGGTATTTTCTGTAGTTATGGAGGCAGTCCCTGGAAGAGGAGAGCTACCTGTAATAAGAAGGAGTGCAATGATATGCTGAAGCAAGCCCAGAACTGAGCAAGGTAGATTGTCATGTTACCTCTCCTCAGCCATGGATGACTTCAGAATGTCATTTTGTTCATTTTCTTTAAGGGTAACTACCCAAGCTTTGCCTCATCCAGCTTCCCTCCCCTTCCCCTGCCATATAGGCTGCATCATGCCACAGCGCTAAGTGCACATTTGCTATATGTGTAGATGGGGAAGCAGTGCTGTAAAGAGGGAGACCCAGAGTTGTGGGGGCAGGTGCCTGGAGAAATCCCTGGTCAGACACAGAGATGATAGTAGCAAAAGACAAAACCAACACAATATACATAGTTTTCTTAGCCTAGTCCAAGTGGATTTTAGCAACAGGTGTTGCTGCTACTCAGGAGTGATTCTGGTCACGGACATCCCAGAGTCCTGGTCTTCATAGGACCATCTTTCCTGTTCTCTAAAAGTTCGCAGATCTCATCCATGGGTCTTGCACAGGCTTCTAGGCTTTCCACCAGCTTCTGGACTTTTGCCTTAAGCACGGCATGGCTCACTTTGGTCACCTCTTTTGTATACTCTGGTACCAGCAGCCCATGGGAACCACAGAAGACCATGAAGCAGATGGCATTATACAATGCAATGGAAGCATTTTTCTCAGGTTGGAGTAAGATGGGATCCCTTGGGCCCCGACTGCGGTGTAAGAAGTCCAGGCAATTCATAATTTCTCTCATCTGACCGTGACAAGTCACTGCAATTTCCTTTACCCTTTTCACCACCTTGGAATTGGAGAGAACTAAGGAGACGTCGGATGTGACAGTGACTGCCCCTCCTGCGGCCGCTACTCCTAAGCCCACGCCAGAAGCCAAGAGAGAAGCCCCTAAAGTAGCAGGGCTCAAGGACAGACCGACGATGGCCATGATTGCTCCTGTGGCACTTAGAGAGCTCCCTGTGAGATTGGCAATCCAAGAACGTCTGTGGAACTTGTTGATTCTCCGGGAGATCTCGCAGAGGATCTTGATGTGGTCCCGTAGCCTGTTTCTCTGGTCCAGCAGTAAGGCATGGAAGTGGTGTGTAGGATCCACAGGATGAGCAAAAATATTATTCTCCATTACCTTAACAGGAGGCAGATTTAAAAAACAGAATGCAATTTATGAAGAAGCATCTAAAAGGAAAGGGAAGGGGAGAAAATTGTTACAATGATTTACACTTTCAATAGGATCACTTTAAAATGTACTAGATTTAGTAAGGTAGAGGTAAAGGTTCTCCTTGACATTTAGTCTGGTTGTGTCCAACTCTAGGGCGCAGTGCTCATCCCTGTCTCCAAGCCGTAGAGCCAGTGTTTGTCCAAAGACAAGTTTCTGTGGTCACGTGGCCAGCACGACTAGACAGAGAACGCTGTTACCTTCCCACCGTGGTGGTATCTATTTATCTCCTCACCTTTACATGCTTTCAAACTATTAGGTTGGCAGGAGCTGGGAGAAGCAATGGGAGCTCACTCCGTTGCGTGGATTTGATCTTACGACTGCTGGTTTTCTGATCCTGGAGCACAGAGGCTTCTGCGGTTTAACCCGCAGTGCCACCACGTCCCTGTGTTGGCTGCATTTCCATCATGGCCACAAAATTTACATTTCAGTTAATAATAATAATAATCTTACAACTGCAGAGCTAGAAAAAAAAACCTATAGAGTCCAGTCCCTGTCAAATATTCATTTAGTTACTCAGTATCTTCCAGAGAGCTTTTCCAAGACTTTTGTCCCAGACAACTTCCAAGCACTTTAAGAACTGTTTAAGTGCTTTTAGTCCTCTGCTCTTTTCTCCTTACCTGATGGTTTTACTGTAGTATTGTGTGGTGCAATGTTTTCCCTCTTGTTTCTGATGTTATCTTGTATAATCTTACTGTGGTTTATTAAATAGACTTGCAATCTGCCCAGAAAACTTTGGCAATACTACACTACTACTACTACCAACAACAACAACAGTAATAATGCATTTGTGTTTCATACACAACAACAACAACAACAACAACAGTAATAATACATTTGTGTTTCATACACCTATGTATCTGCACACACAATTTCCCATCAAAATTCTGCTACTGTATGCCTTGATATCTGCCAATTTTGTGCATGGGTTTGCTGAATTTTCAATGAATGTTTTACTGTGGTTTAAATATTTTTAAATTGACACTGTCTTAAATACCCCGTTGAGCAAACAACCCTCAGGTTACAATATTTTAGGATCTTGAATACTTTTAGAGGCTACACCACTTCCATAAGATTATTAGTAGTCTAATCATCACTGCCATTGCCTTCTATTGAAATCTGTGTAAAATGGAATAATCTCAGGACTAAGGTAAACACGATACAAAATCAGAGCTTTATCAAATGAATTGTTCCAGCCTTTGCAAACACCTCCCTTCCCCCCCCCCAGTCAAAATGAATAGCCATCTCACCCGCTCTGGTTCTCCCTTCAGACCAATGTTCCCAAGCAGGAATCTCAGTCTGTTTCTGGACAAATCCAATTTATACTTACTGCAGTCCTATTGCCCCCGTGGGACTGCTTTGCATCATACCAGGAACTTGTCACTTCCTGGCCCACTCGCCTCCCCCCCACCTCTAGTTCAGAAGGACGTGACACATTGGAAACTAGTCATGAGGAGAGTGCAGCCCATATCATATTCAGGAAGCAATCCTTGCAAGTGAACATTGTGCATTCGCTGACGTGACACATTGGAAACTAGTCATGAGGGGAGTGCAGCCTATATCATATTCAGGAAGCAATCTTTGCAAGTGAACATTGTGCACTCGCTTTTCCCAAAGCACATTTACAAACACACACACACACACACACACACACACACACACACACACACACACACACACACACACACACACACACACACACACACACACAAATATCTCCTGTTCCTGACTCTGAGCAAATGTGGTCATCTCCCAAAGGGAATACACAACCCTTCCTTTTCTTGAAATAACTGGTGACTTTATATGTTGTTTCTGAAGGGGTTGGTGGCGCTGCAGCCAGTCAGACAAATGAATGCTCAGAGTAAAATAAAGTATGATCTCAACCAATCATCCAATTTAAGGGGGGGGGGGCTCACTTGGAGAATGAACATTTGGGCAGATGCTGATTTTGGATTGCCTGAGGCTGACTGGAGCCCAGAGAGCCATCCAGCTTTAAAAAAAATTTAAGGATATATCTACTGCAGTCAGTATCCCAAAGATTTTATAGTTGTATCCGGATGTCCATGGATAAATGGTTGTGCAGTAGTCTTATAATGGATTGTATGCAGATTTAGTCATGTCTGCCTTTGATCCATCTGTAAAATAAGTTGCCAGTTATGATGTGAGGATCAGATGTTTCTCCCCCAAGGGAATGCACTGTGCTGACAATATAATCAGTGTTAAACACATGCCTGTCCAATCTGTATCAGACAAAGATGGGAGTCTGAGTTAAAAGCAAGCATATAGCAAAATTGATGGTGCTGAATGTAGCTTGGTTTACACAGGGGAAATAGGATTACACCTTTAAAAAGGTATAAGCATGTAGCAGGCATTCAATAACGTTAGATGTGGTCCAGGCTATGGTTAGTCTGTATGAGGTGAAACCATGCAGGAGAGCAGCACCAGTGAAGATTTCCGTACCGTCAACAATTAAGCCAAAAATTTCACAGAACAATAATTACAGCTGAACTGAGGATCAAGCAGTTGAAACGGGACATCAGGATCAGCGAGGTGTTACAACAATCAATGCTGTTCTAGAGAACAAGTGCTCCAACTTGTGTCAAGTGTCTTATCGTTCCTGATAAGTATAGCGTTTCATTCCATCCATGTATCACATCAAAATGTTTCATTCCTGTTTTATCAGCCTTTGTCTTATTAAACTTTATATGTATTTGCTGATCATGGGATTTTTTGTTTGCTTGTTTGTTTTGGTTTTTGTCTAAGCAATCAGAGATACAGTAGATACAGTACATGCGCTGCCAACCTTTATATACCAGCAGAACTTCTAAAAGTTGTGGTTTTTGATAACATGTCCCCAAATTCCACAGCCAGAATGAGCATTGATCACACCAGGTGGAGGACTGTGAGTTTTGTAATCCCTGCAAGAGCATTTTTTTCAACTCTGTGTAAAGGTTTCCTACTATATACAATTCAAGACAGCTATAGGTCCTTCAGTGACTAAATCACAGCTCAAGGCTCTGCTGAGAACTACCAAGAATTCCAAAAGAAAGGAGCATGCCAGGATTAGCTTCTTTGATATGAAGTAGGAATTTACAAGGAAGTGTGTGGTGTGGGCCTTCAGCATCCTTGCCACCACCCACCCAAGAAGACACAGCTGGCCAGTTGGCTCAAGCCAAAGGAGAGGTCAGGGTCTCTATGTGTTCCCAGCAGCACTGGGCAGGGACAGAGGTTTAACAACAGCAGAGAAAAGGCTTGGCAGTGGGAGGAGCAATGTACCTGAGGGTACCAGAAATTTGGTGGCAGGGTGGGTCCATCTGTTATGCCACCCCTAGAGGTCCAATCACATCAGATTTTTGGGATCAGAATTCCCGAATTATACGTTGTTGTTGTTTTTCTTCTAAAAGTGAAAAGTCCACTTCAGGCATTGTGTTTCCCAAACACATGATACTCTATTAGGAAACTGTGGCTCTCTATCTATCGATCGATCAATAGATAGATATCTCCCTTTTCAGGACCGGACCATGAACAGCAGTCTGAAATAAGCCGGGAGACATACAGCAAGCCAACGGTTAGGAAAAGCAAGTCAGCATTCAAGGGCTAATCTAGGAGGCACACACCAAGAACAGCCAAGTATATAAGAATGTGCCAGAGATGAAGTACAGCTTGCTGTTCAGACAAGGGTTAGCTGGACCAGGAAGCGCTCTTATGCTTCTTGTTCTCCAGAAAGAGTCATGGACCTGAATGGATAGACAGGGTCAGATCTGAGGACACTACACCAAGTAGCTGCCACCTATAGTTGCCACATGGAACAACTGTCCACAGATCCAAGTGTTACTGACACCAATTGAGTGGAAAGTTCATATTACACTAAATAAGAGGTCAAGTAAATCTGAATAAAACCTGAATAAAGGATGTGGAATGAACATTCATATAACACCTCACCAGTCCATGGTAAAAATATGTTTGCATTTAAGGAAACTGTCGTAATTGAAGCAGTCCCAAGTCCAACATAATATGTATAATGTCTCCGTTTTTTCATTGGTTTTTTTTAATAAAAGCTATCTTAGAACATTTCAGAATCTTCCTCTCAAATTAACATCAAGTTGGATCCTCTTGCACTGCAGCCACACAGGTGAGACCAAAGCAAACATTTTCAGACCACAGTCCAGAGCTTATGATTTTGTATTTTATTGTTTATTTTGAACTACAGCTCCCAGAATTCTCATTGGGAGTTGCCATTCTGGGAGCAGTACTTTAGAAATGTACTTTAGAAGAATGACTTTTCCAAGATTTGACATAAACACATGCAGTTTCCAAAGATGATCAGTTTAAAGGGAGGGGAGAAATCTCCAGAAATTATTCACATCCAAACTCCGGGTACCATTTGTCTCTTATCCTTGAACTCACTGTAGAAAATACAACTGGGAATACAACTCATTCGTGATAGTTTACTAACTCTACAATTCTACTTGGGTGAAGAAAAACTATTGTACATGGATTTTAAGACAACATGGGTTTTGACAGCTTCATCAGGAAAAGAAATCCTTGCTGAGGACATCTAGAAGACAAAAAGAACTGATTACACAGAAGCTCCATCAGATTCTGGCTGATCCCTTTCACTCTGCTTAACTTTCCAAGTGCACACTAGTCCCAAGGGGAGATTTCCCCTTCAATGCAACCAGGAGCATTAGGAGGAAAAAAAATTTAACATGACTAGAAAAAAGGGGAAGCATTACACTCCACAGCTATCTTGTGTCCCAGTGCTGTTCTCCCCTTTCTCTCTAGTTTCAATTTACTTTAACAAAAATGTGCACATTAATTTCATTCACAAAATGAATTTTTTCTCCTCACTCGCCTCATGAAACTGCTGTGAGCCCTGGTTGCGGGCAGGATGTAAGCACAGATGAAGACTATTTGTATAGTCTAGAATCCTACATACTGATAACTCTTGCTCAGGTTAAATGATCAGGCCTAAGAACTGTGCAATGCAGTAACTATGCCCCAAATAAGTCTCACTCAAATGCTGGATAATAATTCTAACTGAATAAAATCCCAAATTCCATTCCATGTTTAATCTAAGTAAGAAGACTGGATCAATCCAAATTGACGCCTCCCACAACGGTAAGTCTGCCCAGATTTTAAACATGTACGTAAATATGAAGAAAAATGCACTTACGTGTCATTTATACTTTCTTCATCTATGATAAAATATCTGGATCATCCATATGTTTGGGAGCTGAGGAGGAAAGAGTATTTATATTGATTAGCGCCCAGAATAAGTCTTCTCACATTTGGCCATGGTGATTTTCCTCAGTCGAGGAGGGCAAAGACACTAAAGGAACCTGGCCCCTGACTTTTGGGTCATGTCTCTCTGAACTAAGTCCTGAGTATATCAGCATGAACTATGCAGATAAAATTCTACTTTTTCTATTTTTACAAAAGTGTGCATGGGCATGCCCCACCTAAGAGGCAGCAATGATTCATAATTTTTATATATCGAATGGGTATGTCTAATGATTGCTTACACATTTTCTCCAGCAAAACTTATTTCAGAGCAATTACTAAAAAGTTAAACAGTTTGTGCAATATCTATAGAACTTGGAAAAGTGACTCTTTCGGACTGCAACTCCCAGAATCCCCCAGCCAATATGGCAACTGGCTATGCTTTTGGGAGCTATATTCCTAAAGGCACTTTTTCTAGCTCTTATGAGTTATTATCTCCTCCAAGAACAACTGCATGACAAACCTCCCCAGCAAGGGCTGACACTGATGACGAAGGTGTGTTTCACACTGTACCTAACATTCAGAGCCTTGGAGGCACTCACTGCCCGCAGGATACATGCTTTCTTTTAATACCTACTATTGTCTCTGATTTTCTAGTACTTTTTGCTTTTGTAGACAGATGTTACGTATGCTTTGCTCTGGATGTAACAGTGGGGGTAATTAGTGCCAAGAATGAAAGTCCTTTTTAAGGAAAAAGGCGGGATTGAAATATTTCAAATAAAATAAATAAATAAATGAGGACTGCCTCCTTTCCTGTCCCATCTGTTTATTTTTCTGCTTAAAACATTTATACTATGCCTTTCAGTTAAAAAAAACCCAGACAATTCTTACAAGTGATTGCAAACTCTTCTTTTCTCCCCCAGAGGGAGCTTGTACTTTGGATGTACCTGAGCATCATCAGTGAGCATTTTTAGACTGGACCCTCATGCACCAGCAATGCTGAGAAATGAGGATGTACTAATAATAACGATCCATTTTGCTTTGGACAGGATAAACAGTATGACTTCTCACCATTAAGAAAACAGACAATCCCCCATGCAATAAGGCTTCCCTCGCTTCTCCACCCATCTCCCAAAACAAAGTGACTGTTAAGCTACCGAAGAGAGATTCAAGCTAACTACATAGGGATCTTGTTCCAATAGAAGTCATCATTTGTACAGAACCTAAGCATCGTCCAGCACAGAATTGCTACAGGACAGATAAACAACAAACTTTTCTACTCACCCAAGGGATTTGCCCTCACTCCGAACACCTGGACTTCACACAGTGTGAGAAACTGAATCCTAGGGATTGTCACAGTAACGTATCGCCCTTGGATTCCTTCACAATCAAAATTCTGAGTTTCTCCAGCACCGAGTGAGGCTATTATAGCACACCTTGAAAAGAATTCCATTTATATTTCTATTAAATGGTCAATTCATATTAAGAACATCATCAACAGCCATCTGGCCACAGAAAGAAACAAAAGATACAGATCAAGAGTACTGGACCAACGTGGATTATTGTTTTTTGTTGTCATTGAGTGAATTACTTGTACTAGCATTCCACCCCATTTTCTTCCCTGTGTCTTATTTCTGTGAGCCCCTTAAAAACATCAAACTAGTGGGTACCTAGGATTTGTAGAGCCTCCTCTCTCTAGTGAGTTCCCAATCCGGATTTCAGCTCCATTAAGCCGATTTGCACAACAATCTTCTCGATTGGTGACACTAACGCTTGAGATGTTAAATTCGGCCTTCAGATCAACTGTCCACCATGGATTTAATTCTAGATCCGTGTGAGTGCATGATTTGCGCATAAAGTTGACTGCAGTGGACCCATCAATGGCATTCTCTGCAAACCCCAGTTTGTTGTAGGTGCTGGACTGGAATGCCGTCCCTTCAAGGGCCACGTTGGGGACTATAAGGTACAAAAGAATGTACTTAAGCAATTAAACAATTAAAATACTCTAATCATTCTAATATTTTAATTTTATTTAGATTTATATAGGTCCATAATTCTAATTTGTGCAGCATTTTGATATGGATCAAAACAGGCAGAAAGAAAGCAGTTAAACAAGTAAGCATATTCCAAAAATAGGGGAAGTGGACTCCTAAATAGTATTTGATTTAATAATGAACACTGCAGTATGTATTTAGCATGACCAGTAGATCAGTAGATTTCAAAGGGGAACAAAATTGCTACATGAGGAATAGCCAGTAGTCTGTGTCACTTTCTCCTCTTAATTAAGGATCCCCGCTTCCCTATTCAGCTTTCTCCATGCATAGCCAAAGGGTCTGTAGATGAGAGGACTGGTATACTGTGGATGGTGCCCCCTAACATTGGTAGCACCACTGATCCCTGTTCCTTCAATATATGTGCATTCACTGCAACATATGCAAAAGAATGCCTACTCGTTTACAGCTACACAGGCACAGGCAACCCATTGCAGATGTTGTGTTGAACTGCTGGTGAATATCCATGCAGGCTTGGTAGTTCTTAACTCAGCACAGCTGAGGAACAAATATGGCATCCCAGAAGATCTAATTTTTGTTCTTCTTCATCAGTGGAAGTAGAACAGATCTGTTATTTCCCTTTCACTGTTGGTGCTTTCACTACAATAGAATTGGGTAGTGGGTGCTGGAAGGAAAAACAGCACTCTCTTCCTGAAGTTTATACAAACTTCCTATCCTGTGAGAAGCGGGGTGGCATAGAAGATGCCAGGGACCATGACTGTTGCATCAAATGTTGGATCAGATGTTGGATCAGAGTCTAACATCCTCTAATTATTTAGGAATGTCATCTCCCATAAGAGGGTCCAGGAAGAAGGTAAAGGTAAAGATTCCCCTTGACATTTAGTCAGTCGTGTCCGACTCTAGGGGGCGGTGCTCATCCCCGTTTCCAAGCCGTAGAGCCAGCATTTGTCCGAAGACAGTTTCCGTTGTCACGGGCCAGCGCGGCTATACACAGAACACTGTTTACCTTCCCACCGAGGTGGTACCTATTTATCTATTCACATTTGCATGCTTTCGAACTGCTAGGTTGGCAGGAACTGGGACTAAGCGACGGGAGCTCACTCCGTCGCGTGGATTCGATCTTACGACTGCTGGTCTTCTGACCCTGCAGCACACATAGGCTTCTGCGGTTTAGCCCGCAGCGCCACCATGTCCCAGGAAGGAGAGGAGACAACAAATCTGCTAAAGAATGTGAGGCAAAGCCTGAGTCCTTGCTTAAGGAAGATTCCTGGGATATGGGAACATGTGGTGATGTGTCAGAATCAGGGAAGTCTTTATGGATTAGGTTGTTGATACCAAATGTAAAAGAAAGCATGCTAGTAGCTAACAGGATGATAATCAATGGTACCAGGGCTATCGGTATTGGTTGTGACATATGGGGAACATCAAGAGTCAGTACCAGCGTTGTCACTCTTGTTATGGGGAGTTAATTCATGGGAAGACCAATTGCTAGTGTTAAAGTGAGCATGTAGTCTGGATATTGCATGCAGCCAAATTCAAGGGCACGCTGTTGATTCCAATAGGGAAAACAAACAGTGGTGGTTTCTTGAAACGTTCAAGAGATTGTATCCTACGGAAGAGAGAGATGCTGAGATTGTTTTGAATTAACCATCTGATTAATATTGAACCAGAGGATGATACTAGATGGTTGATTTTTCATCTTTTAATTATTCACATTTCAAAACCAACATACAAAATCAATCAGTCATCTAACAATAGTACAAACATTTCTGCAAGTGTATTGGCCCAGATGTCCTCAGTCCTGGCATTGTGCAGCTGATCGCTGTTTTCATCACTATGATCTCACAATATATTTCAGAACCCAAAGATGCACAGGTATGGCTCAGACAACTGAGGTTCTGTGGCAAAGATTAGCTAAGAGCAGTTCAGAAATTATTTATGAAATCTTTAGACGTACCAAGAGGCATTATCCGCTGACCAAAGACTTGTACTTCACACAAGGTGAGGTATTTGGGTGTGCCTGGAATAGTGATGGTCACATACTGTCCTTGCATTCCTTCACACTCAAATTTGTGAGTTTCTCCCAAATCCATGGAGCTGATTGTAGCACATCTGGAAAGCAAAGTAGCTCATATGTTTTAGTATTGCAATGCATTTATAGGAAGGAATGGTAATTGTTTCAATGATCTCTTATCATCCAGCCCCATGAAAGAGATTGCTAAAAGAGTCAGACTGGTCATCATGTTTAGTCTAGCTAACTCTAGGTTTGTAAATGGGCAATCCGTCCCCACACTCAAGAAAATGTTGCTTTGGGGTCTGGATTAATAACTAAGGAAGTAGGTGAGCTGTGATGGGACGGGATCTCAGAACAAAGTATAGAGTTGAATTTGTTCTCTGCAAGAAAGCCTATGGCACTGGGGGGGGGGAGCCCAATCATGTTAGACTGCCTGTTCTGAGATCCCGTCCCATCACAGATTGCTTGCAAGCTTTTAAAAAGGAGACAAAATTTTGTAGCAGGTTAAATAACTAAAATAAATAACAGGTTTATTTTCGCATGAGCTTTCATGGCAGTACATTAGAGATCTAGCTGTAGAGCCAAAAGTTGTGCATTTGATTCCCCCTAAGCCTCCCAGCAGAACCAGCCTGTGCAGCCTTCGGCAAGTCCCAGGGCAGCTCCAGAACTTGTAAACCAATTCTGAGTACTGTTTCTAGATAATGCTGAAAAAGGTCTCAATAAGTCAGAATCAACTTGATGGGACCGTATTATTTTTATATAAGAGAAATGAGATGAGCATCTATTGATTTCCCTCTAAGGAAACTACATTCTAAGTAAGAATTGGAATTCCTGAAACTTCTCACCACTTGGATGTGGGATAGTGGGAGACGAGTCCCTTGCCTTACTTCAAAAGGTACCCTATTTCAGGTAGTAAGGTGGCATATTAACAAATAAATAGTATAAGTTAAACCATTCGATATCTGGTTTCCAATCCTTCCCATTCAATAAGTTCCCTGATCATGCAAGTGAATGAGGACTCAAATAATACCTGGGATTTCGAATACCACCTTCATCTTTTGAGTCCCCTATTCGGATTTCAGCACCTTGTATCCGTTCTTCACAGCAGTCTCCACGATTAGTGACAACTACACTGAGAACTCGAAATCTTGCCCTTAGGTCCACTGTCCACCATGGATTAGCTTCTAGCAATGTGTGGGTACAGTGTCCTTGCAAAAAATTAGAAGATGTGGAGCCATCATTGGCATGTTCAGCAGATGCCAGACTGGAGTAGGAGCTTGACTGAAATGCCTTTCCATCAAGGGCTGCATTGTAGACTGCAAGAATAGATATGAAAGAGAGAAAGAGGGATTGCTATTGATTCTCTCCAATACAAGCTGAATTGTATTGTTACAGAATACAGTATCAATCAAATAAGCAATCTAGATATTTAGTGAGCTGCCTATTACATGTCTGGATATGCAATATGAACAGCATTTGCATGATTGCCCTTTCATGTGTGGTAGAACTCAAGTGAGAAATCATATGGATGTAGTGGGTAGAGTGACAGACGAGGACTCAGCAGACATTGGCTCAAACCCCCACTCCTCAGTCCCTGGGAAGTGGTACTGGTAAAACCACTCTTTAAATATCTCATATACCTTGAAAAGCAAATTAGGGTCACCATAAGTATGATGCAACTTGACAGCGCATACCATCAAACTGAATTTTGGGCTCTGCCTTACAATTCAAAGTACTGTACCACTGAATGACTTCTGAAAACTCTCCACATGGGAAAAGAATTCTCCAATGTTGTTTGAATCAATAATAAACAGCCTAAAACCAGTGTTCCTATTAAATGTTTCCATAGAAAGGAAACTGAAGGTCCTTAGCCACTGCCATCAGTTGGCATAAGGTCATTTACCATGGCATTATATGGTATTAATCTACATGGCACTTTTCAGAATGATCTAGAAAGCCTAGACTAGTCCTAGCCCCCAAGGTCCTTCCAATCTAAAACAGACAGGATGGAAAACAATTGCAAAACTGTTTTGACCAGTTTGACCAGAGGGACGTGGTGGCACTGTGGGTTAAACCGCAGAAGCCTCTGTGCTGCAAGGCTGGAAGACCAGCAGTCCTAAGATTGAATCCACACAACGGAGTGAGCTCCCCTTGCTTGTCCCAGCTCCTGCCAACCTAGCAGTTCGAAGGCATGTAAGTGCGAGTAGATAAATAGGTACCACTACGGTAGGAAGGTAACAGCGTTCTGTGTCTGTCGTGCTGGCCACATGACCACAGAAACTGTCTAAGGACAAACACTGGCTCTATGGCTTGACGATGGGGATGAGCACCACCCCCTAGAGTCGAACACGACTGGACTAAATGTCAAGGGGAACCTTTACCTTTACCTTTGACCAATTAAGGAAAGTGTATTTTTCCTCATAGATAATATCCAACAGATAATCACATCAAAATAGCAATTACTGATTTAATGGCAGTCCTTTGAGGAGTTTGGAGAAAAATTGCAGCCAACAACTACCGGGGGTGGTGTTTGAAATCTAAAGCCCTGACTGGCATTTGCAATCTGCATTATTAGGCTTGCCTTTAAAAAATAGAGCTGGCACAGACATCTCCCAAGATTTTGTGAGATTCTCACATATTTTCTTTTCTGTGCTATCCATAAGTGCACGGCTTGATGAAGACCAGTTTAGGTCAAAAGCTAGCTCTTTGATTAATTTTCAGTGGTCCAATAAAGTTATCACCTGCCTTTTTTAAAATAGTTGATTTGCCCACTGGTACAGCTTAAACATGTGACAAAACCCTGCAATACCAGACTGACCAGATAACCATGGTAAGACACAAAAATTGAATGTGAATATTGTGAGTGAGATTAAAGTACGTAATGCTGTTTTGCCCAACCCTCTGGATTTCACATAATCTGTAGGGTTTATGCTATTTTGAGTAATGTTCTCATACCAGTACTAAGTGTAAATCAAGTGCACTCAGAGAGGCTGAGAGGGAGTTCTCTGCAAATGTTTATTAAATCAGAGTTAGAGAGAGAGAGAGAGAGTTATAGAGAGAGAGAGAGAGAGAGAGCACGGGTCAGTTTACCAGTTAAATAAGCTTGCTTCCCTCTGTTCTGTTCCAATGGTGGTCTAAGTTCTTTCTGCTTCACCCATTTTTCAATAGCGGAAGTAACTACAATAAGGAAGACATGAAACAGAAAAAGGTGGATAATATATAACAAAGTCAGACTGTTTCTTGGTAGTGTTTCTGAGCTGACTCACTCATAGGTATGTTTCACTGAATTCAGCAGGACTTAGTTCCACAATGACATATCCTTCCTCAGCTGGGACACAAAAATGCCACCCTCCTATATTGGCCACTGTCTTCTGGTGGAACTCCAAGCTAAGTTGAGACAATAAAAACTTGGAATGTGTGAATCCCATCTGATCTGATTTATAGGCAAATACTTGCTATACAAATTGGGACTGGATCTCCTGATTTGGAGATGATTTGGGCTTCTGCAGATATTTGTATGTTTCCAAAATGGGGAGGAAACATGCAAATGGAAGGATGAAGGGCTACAACTCAGGATGGGGGCACTATGCAGTGCCATCAGTTTTACCCTTGCCATACAGTACTGTATAAGCAAAGCCCTTTCTTTCTTTCTTTCTTTCTTTCTTTCTTTCTTTCTTTCTTTCTTTCTTTCTTTCTTTCTTTCTTTCTTTCTTTCTTTCTTTCTTTCTTTCTTTCTTTCTTTCTTTCTGCTTCCCTCCCTCCCTCCCTCCCCCTCTCCCCTGGAAAATGTGAATGTGGAAGACGTCCTTTTATTGTCACCAGTTTGGTGCCCCATCTGTGGAAGTGTTCCCGTTCACTGCCTAGCTTAAATCAGAGAGCTCCACTTTTGGCACCTACCAACTCTGGGGTCTCAAACTGTGGCCCTCCAAATGTTCTTGGACTTCAACTCCCAGAAATCCTGGCCAGCAGAGGTGGTGCTGAAGGCTTCTGGGAGCTATAGGCTAAGAACATCTGGAGGGCCACAGTTTGAGACCCTTGACAGGGACCTACTTTAAGAAAAAGACACCCCCCCCTAGGGTGGGTCTTGGTATTGCATTGCCTGAACTGATGTGGGCGTAGCACTCTCTTTTCTCTGAGACTGCTAATATCTTTAACGTGTTATATATAAATAAAGAGGAAAGTTTTTACTAAGAATCAGACAAAAAGAATTTATTTGAAAAATACAGGTATACAGAAATAAGGGAAGGGTAATTTATCAAGAAGTTCAAACTGAAGTGCAAAACAATGATAATCCTTATAACCTTTTATATTATTCCCACACTCTTATTTATAATCTCTCCTATTGTTTAACATTATAATTAGTTGTTTTTACAGATTCCACACAAGGACGGGACTCAGACTTACCTGGGGCCTACTTTGTGGCCAGAGCGGTGGAGGGGCTTCCTCTTGCAACCTACTCTCAGTTTGGCTCTGGTGGCCTCCAACATGCCATGTGGTGGTACCATGAGGGGGCCTGGGAGAGGCAGCAAATGGCCAGGGTTGTGCTGGCCAATCCTGATTGGCTGTGGGGCTGTGGGTGGGGAGGACTGCTGGCTAGTGGACCTGAGAGGCAAGTTTTCATTCAGGTCCACCAGTCAGTGCAGCATAAAGCAGGTGGATCGTAGACCTGGGCTCCAGTCATTCCTGAGGCGGCATTCTTTCCCTCTCCCACCCATGATATGTTTTAAAGTTAGCCTTTAATTCTTAATCTGATTGGGTATATAAAATGATTTTCTTCATGGCAAGGTTTTGTGTTACAAGTTTTGTGTTACAAGGGAGTTTTGTATATTCCTTTCACAGCTTTGTTGGCTGTTTGGAGCATTGGGAATGGATCCAGAGGATGAAAGACAGTAGGCAGGACCTGCTTGTCTTGGCTGGTGTGGAATCCCTTCAGGGGACCCAGAAGGCACTTGCCCTAGCTAGGGGATTTGAGAGCCTGATCCTGCCCTTGCGTGGTGTATGTACCGTATGGTCTCCAAGGGTCTGATTTCAGGTGGTCTGCCAGATGGACCTGGGAAGACAATGGCATTTGGGTCTCCTGATGAAACTGGATTGAATCCCAATACTAGGCCAGTGAAACTGCTGCTGTAATCAATAAATTTGTGGCCTTTTCCCCTACAGTTATGTGTATGGTGTGTTTATGGGGTCCACGCTTGCTTAGCAGGCCTACAATACACTGGCCAAAATCCTGTTGCTAAAAACAGTAAACCACACTAAAGTAGGCCCATTGATTTAGTGAGTATTTAGTGAGTAATTCAAATTCAAATTGGCCTACTCTAACTATGACACACTATGATAAGCATAAATCAATGAAATTACAGTTATGTGTATGGTGTGTTTATGGGGTCCACGCTTGCTTAGCAGGCCTACAATACACTGGCCAAAATCCTGTTGCTAAAAACAGTAAACCACACTAAAGTAGGCCCATTGATTTAGTGAGTATTTAGTGAGTAATTCAAATTCAAATTGGCCTACTCTAACTATGACACACTATGATAAGCATAAATCAATGGAATTTATGTAGGAGTTGACTCACCAAATTCTCACTGAGTCAATGGGCCTATTTTAGTGCAATTCACTACATTAAACAACAAAGTTTGGGCCACCATTTCCTTATCTGTTTTCTCCTCATTAACTCAAGACAAATGCTCTAACCAACTCGCTCTCTGAATGCTCTAAACCAGTGGTCCTCAACCTTTTCTGAACCATGAACCGGTTGGGGGGCTGGGGTCCATGCGCAGGAGGAGTGGGGCACCCCCCCGTGCTTGCAGGTTGGTGGGGTGTGCTCATGGAGGGGAGGGGGGCACTCACACACATGCATGGAGGGGTGATTGCGCTCATGCACATGTGCGGAGGGGCATGCTTGTTGAGGGGAGGGGTATGATCGCACGCATGTGTGGAGAGGAGGGGTGCACTCACAGAGGAGAGGGGCACCCATGTGTGCAGGTGAGGTGCATGGGGGCAGGAGATCTGCCTCTGAGGCCCAGTCCTGTTATGGCCACAGACCAGCACCAGGCCGTGGACCGGGGGTTGGGGATCCCTGCTCCAAACAGAATCAATGAAACAGACTGTGCTCTCCTTTACCAATTGCTGTCACATTCTAAACACATCAGCCAATCAGCATTTAGCTCAGTATCCCACATTCTATTCCTTATCTGCCAATCCTTCCAGCACTCAGCCTATGTATACATACTATTCATGCAACACTGCCATTTTCATATAGTCGTCAGTATATTTACAAAAACATGCATACATAGCTGTCCAGAATTGAAAAGTCAAGAAGATGAACAGGTGGAGCTGGGTATACTATAGCTGTGGAAGTTTGTGGAGAGGCCGTGAAGGCCTCATTTCACATGTTGATTGAATTTACCCATCTAAAGAAATGTTGCCTGCTCATCTCTAGTTTGTATATTTTAGGTTTGATGGGGACAATCCAGAGACCTTTATACTGACCTTCTGTGTCTTCTTCTCCAGGTGAAGTTTCTTTCTTGTTAGCAAAATCTTTTAGACAAGATACACACAAAATTTCATCATGAGATGTCTATGAAATATAAAATAGCTGAGCCTTGCCAAATCTAATTAAACCAATATAAGCTATACAGAGTTGTTGTTGATATTAACTGTTACCACCAGAGTAGCACAACATCTGGGGTTTTTTACAGCAATATCAGTAACTAAAGGTTTGAGCACAGAAGATGGGCAACTTTGCAATTAGGAGGCAATGGCACGTTATTCCTCCAGAAATGTATCTTTAAAGCAAAGATGCAAAACCAATAATGGAATCAGAGCCTGCTGCTTCCAATTACCCAACAAAAGCAAATTATTAATAATCTGCAACTAGCAAAGCCATGAAAGATGTCAGAAGACAATCATCATCCTTTACTGCTGAAGTGAGCTTCACTCTTAATTATAAAACTCCCATTTCATTTGTCTTAGAGAGCAGAGGCATATTCTAGATGGCAACTACCATCAGATGGCAGCAAAGGTGTGTATCTGATCACATCAGCAAGGGTCACTTTAATGGGAGCATGATCTGTTAAATCACCCTTCCATCTCCTGGGGAATTGCTCTAGCCCTGCCACCAGTTGTATGTATGTATGTATGTATGTATGTATGTATGTATGTATGTATGTATGTATGTATGTATGTATGTATGTGTGTGTGTGTTTGTGTGTTTGTTTGTTTTTTGTTTGTTTGTTTATTAAATATTAAATAAATAAATAAATAATCTAGACCAAAGTCCACTCTGAGTGGCTAACAATAAAAAATAAAATAAAAACAATATAATAAAATAAAAAACAACAATAGCAATATAGTTCAAGATGGGGGGAAAATATTCAAGTGATGACAGGAGGGAAAGCCTGTCTAAAGAGCCAGGTCTTAAGTAGAGACCCTGCAGCTTGGGCACGTATTAAAGTCAGGCTGGAGCTCATTTCCCCGCATGTCATGTGATTGCGGGGAAATAGAAAATGGTGAAATTAAAATATAGTTCCTTATGTGATCATATCCCAACTAAACAATATCTCTGAGCTAGCTCAAACTAAAAAGCATGCTGCTTATCTACAGCCCCATAGTGCTTACAGCACACTCTGGGTAATGTACAAGTTAATTGTGCAGGCTACACATCCCCCCCCCCCAGCGAGCTGGGTACTCATTTTACCGACCTCAGAAGGATAGAAGGCTGAGTCAACCTTAAGCCGGCTACCTGGGATTGAACCCCAGGTCGTGAGCACAGTTTTGGCTGCAGTGCAGCAGTTTAACCACTGCGCCACAAGGCACAGAAGTTATCACTTTTGTTTTGGCAGAATGCAGGGTGCCTTTAACAACAATATTTGTTCGACATCTGCCATCTGTATATGTTTGCATTCAGTCACCATATCCCTATCTTCTAGGTTGACTCTGCAGCACCGCCTGCACTGCAACCACCCATGTTCTTTCAACATCACCCTCTGCTAGTTCACTAAATCACAAGAGGGAACTTACCTGAGGAATTAACCTTTTCACCAAACACTTGGACTTCACAGAGTGAGATAATCCGGACACCTGGGATGGTAACAGTTACATACCGTCCTTGCATTTCTCCACAGTCAAAAACAGCTGTCTTCCCTGGCCCCAGTGAGGTAATTGTGGCACACCTTCAAAAGGAATGTAGCTCCTGCTTAGCGTTCAAGAGAAACCACATCCACAAGGAAAAAAGGAAATTAATTTTAAAATATGGCACCTTGAAGGCCTTAAACTGGTATCATACCTTGGATTTGTGATCCCTCCCTTTTCTGGTGAATTTCCTATTCGAATTTCAGCTGCATTGATCCGCTCTGAACAGCAGTCTCCCCGATTGGTGACGCCCACTCTGTGCACTCGAAACTCTGCTGTCAAGTCCACTGTCCACCAAGGATTAATTTCTAGTTGTGTATGGGTGCAGTGCCCTCGCAAATAGTTTGCAGATATTGAACCGTCAATGGCATTGTCGGGGTTCCCAAGTTCATTATAGGTGCTCGACTGAAACACCTTCCCTCTGACAGCCACATTGGGGACTATAAGAAAGAAGACAAAAAGTCCTGCTCTCCATTTAAATTGCTGAACAAGAATCTTAAGCCACATGGTAAGGAGAACACACCACACGGGTTACCAGTATTGATCTGAATAAATAGTTTTTGCAGTTTGATTTTGTCAGAAGAGATGGGCCATAATAGCCTAGTACACAGAAACTAAGCCTCCAAGCCCAAAGTCTAAAATTAAGTCCTCTGACATCTCCAGCTGGCAAATACAGCTTGTTTCATCTGGATAATGTGAAGGAAAAGGTAAGTAAAAAGAACACCCCTAGAGACTGAACTGCTTGAAGCTAGAAAAGTAGCTGTTAAACTGTGAAGGGTAAGAAAACTATGATGAAGCAGGAATAGAGTATGATGCTGAGGAAGAAAAAGAAAGGGGGAAAAGAGAATACTACTGACATCTTCAGAATAGATTGACTGATGCGACAGCTGAGGTAAGTGGTTAGGAACAGAGCTACTTAGTGTAGTGGTTAAAATATGGGACTGGGCCACGGCTAGTTTTCAGATGAACCATGAAACCTGTTAGGCGGTTGAGCCTCATTCTCCTAGCATGGTCTACCTCACTGAATTCTTATGAGGTGAAAGCAAGGAGCAAGAGAGCAATGTATGTTGCTTGGAGCTCATTGACGGAAAACTGAGATATAAATGCAACTAACAAATAAATCATAAATAAGAACTGTGAGGAGTATAAAAACAAGCAACCTACTACACAAAACATCATTGTGGAAGCATTACTGTTGTGGACTGAGTACAAAGCTAACAGAGAGCTTACTGAAGTATGCTCATTTTACTGTATATGAAAAGGGATAGATACGGGACGGTGATAGATATTTATACGGTTGTTTGACTCTTGAGGGCTTCTTTGATTTCATGTCCTCATTCCATATCGCCCCACAGTGAGCCTGTGGCTTCCATGTGCCATGAACAAGAAGTTAATAGAAAGAGTTCTGCTTGAAGTTTTTAGGAGCCCCCATCAATAGAGCAGATGGTGCTGGGTTAAGATCAATGCTGCAGGGTCTATAGCTTTCCAGAGGTTCTCAGACTCCAGCACCCAACAGCTTTAGCCAGCCAACATAGCTCTTAGTTAATGATGACGGGACATGCTTTTCAACAATATTTGTAGGTCCAGAGTTCCTTTACATTCAGCTTTGAGGGGCTATTGGCCTGATGCAGAGTAGGGTTAAGTCACATGTTTCACAGTAGTGTGTGCGGGATATGTTATAAACTTTGTCAACAGAAAGGGCACAGCATGTTGAAGTGACATACCTTTAAGCCCTGCATATTCTCAGCCAGAGAGCCAAGTGAATTGTTATATATTTTTTCATCAAAACAAATGGAACTTAAATACGCCAACTTTCAGCTGAATTGTCCTAAAGTGCTGTCTGTGCTCATGACTATGACAGTGAGGAGGACACCCTCCCAAATTTTGTCCCATTCCATGAGCCACTCATGCTCCTGCTACTACTCAGTCAACAATATTACAACCAGCAGTGGTACTCCTGCAAGGGCAGTAATATGTAACAATATAATTACCAGATGTCTTGACTTGTTCTCCTTCTTCCAGTTCCATTACTGGCCTGGATAGCTTGCTTTGCTCATCTGACAAGGAAAATAAGATTGTAAAAGCAAAATGATTGAGCTAAGTTTCCATCATAAAGCATTGATTTTTTAAAATTTTGTCATTTATAGGATTTCTAAGCTTTCTTAGTGCAGGCAAAAATAATAAAGTATCTGCCATGATGGAGACAAATGCAGAGCAAATGAGGAGCGATATAAATTCACCAGAGTGGGTTCAGTTCACCCTATGATTAGAATTCAGTTCACCCTACCTGCTGAAATGCCTGAACAAAGTCTTTTTCTAATGCCAAAATAATATTGGTGTTGGCAACAGGCATGTCTCCCTGGAGGAGTAGTTCAATAAATAGGGGGTAACAGCTAAAAGAGTGTCTACTTAATATCTGGTGATACAGACAAGAACAGTTTTGTCATTAGGCAGCAAATGAGAGCCCTCCTAAACGGGAAATTTCCACCTTCCCTGTTCTCATCTATGTTAATTTGTTATACTTTCGCCACCTTGGATCTATAATACAGTGGTGCCTCACTTAACAATTACCTCCTTAAACGACGAATCTGCTTTATGGTAAGGTTAAAATTCAGAATATTTTCTGAATTTAAGGAAAAAAAGACTGTGAAGTCTAAACTGCATTTTACAGCCTGCCTGCATCAACAACCAGCAATAATTATTACAGCAAACAGATCCCCAAAGAAAAAAAAGACTTTGGAGTCACATTTTAAACCCACACATTTTAAAACAACAGAGAGGTCACAGTACACACACCCTAGAAGCCACAATAATGGCTGCCCTATGGAGGATCTTCGCAAAACGAGCAGGTATTTAGCCCATTGGAATGCATTGAACAGTTTTCAATGCATTTCAATGGTTTTTTTAAATTTGCGTGACGATGATTTCGCTTAACAGCGATTTCAACGGAACGAATTATCGTCGTATACATTACAATGGAACCTCTACTTACGAACTTAATCCGTCCCAGAAGATGTTCATTAGTTGAAACGTTTGTAAGTAGAAGCAACATTTCCCATAGGAATGCATTGAAAACCATTAATCCGTTCTGGCTGTTTTTGGTTCTTATCTAGAGGTGCCGTTAAGTCAAAGCATTAGTTCCCATAGGAACTAATGCAAAATACTCTACCACTAGGGGGAGAATTTTTCTTCTTTTGAGCTAAGATGAACTTAGGTCAAAAAAAGGGAGTCTAAACTGCATTTTACAGCCTGCCTGCATCAACAACCAGCAATAATTATTACAGCAAACAGATCCCCAAAGAAAAAAAAGACTTTGGAGTCACATTTTAAACCCACACATTTTAAAACAACAGAGAGGTCACAGTACACACACCCTAGAAGCCACAATATGGAAAAATAAATAAATAAATTTTACATTTTAATATTACAGTCTAATTTTCACATTTTATTTTAATTTAATATTACACTCTACTTTTCACATTTTAAATCTACACTGCAAGATCCATCAGGGCACAGAAACATAAGCCCCACCTAGCCCTACCCCCCCACCAAGCTGCAAAAAAACCTTGTACAGTACAGTAAATACTGTACAGTTTATGTACTCACCCTGAACAGGCAGCCTCTCTGTTTAAAAAAAGTCAAAAATCTAAAAATTAAAATTAAAAAAAGCCCAAAAAAAAATACAGTAAAGTACCAGGCAGTCTGAAGACTCTCTCCCTATCCACTCTCTAACCGCTGGGACGAGCAAGGTAGCAGTCAAACAGCCTCTTTGCTGGCCAACAGTCAACTGAAAGTTCAAATTTCTCACTTTCCCCACCTCCCCTGCATTTTTTCGTTCGCATGGTGAAGCTCCGTTCGCAAGTAGAAGCAAAATTTTGCGAATGGAGCTGTTCGTAAGTTGGATTGTTGGTAGATATGGAAGTTCGTAAGTAGAGGTTCTACTGTATGTTTATTGGTGCCTTTGCTTTTGGTGATAAAAGCACTAGGCAGCCTAGCTGAAAGATTCTAGCCAAAGGCCATGAATGCGGGATTAACCTTCTCAGGCAAGTACCACTCCCTCCCACAATGAATCAAGAGGAAAAAATTTTTAAAAAATCAATTGCTCAGGAGGACACAAAAAAGTAGCCACAGATTTTGTCACTCTTTTAACTGGGACAAGTTTTTGTGCAAGTTTTTGTGAGGAAAATTGTGGTACTAATATGAACAATAACCCAGGTACAGTGCAGAGAATAAGTGCTCTGTTTGAAAGAACCCCGGTAGTGTTTATTTGGGTGCCCTGAAAGGATGGTAAATTGTTACACAGCAATCCTAATGGGGTGGGGCTTATAGTCTAATTGCCACTTCTAAAACACACTATTGCCAGGCAAAACAAGAGATTTGTCTATACAAGACACAAACATACCCTTTCTTTTCTCCAATACAAATCCTTGATCCTCTTCATTCCTCTTTCCCACTGGCTTCATTAGAAGCATTATTTTCAAGAGGCAAGCAGGAGTGTGGTCGGTTTTGGTACTAAATAAACGCTCCAAAGGTACAATTGTACCACTGGTAGGTCTTCCTACTATTGGAGGCCTCATAATAGGGCCTTCTGTGCCCAGACTTGAAATAGGAGAGAGGTGGCTGCAAATCTACTGGAGAAAAAGACCTGAGATGACATGGATTGCCCCATTACAGAGGTGCCCTAAAAGTGTTGAAGCTCCGTTCGCAAGTAGAAGCAAAATTTTGCGAATGGAGCTGTTCGTAAGTTGGATTGTTCGTAGGTATAGACGTTCGTAAGTAGAGGTTCTACTGTATGTTTATTGGTGCCTTTGCTTTTGGTGATAAAAGCACTAGGCAGCCTAGCTGAAAGATTCCAGCCAAAGGCCATGAATGCGGGATTAACCTTCTCAGGCAAGTACCATTGCACTCAACTTCCTCCCACAATGAATCAAGAGGAAAATTTAAAAAAAAAATCCATTGCTCAGGAGGACACAAAAAAGTAGCCACAGATTTTGTCACTCTTTTAACTGGGACAAGTTTTTGTGCAAGTTTTTGTGAGGAAAATTGTGGTACTAATATGAACAATAACCCAGGTACAGTGCAGAGAATAAGTGCTCTGTTTGAAAGAACCCCGGTAGTGTTTATTTGGGTGCCCTGAAAGGATGGTAAATTGTTACACAGCAATCCTAATGGGGTGGGGCTTATAGTCTAATTGCCACTTCTAAAACACACTATTGCCAGGCAAAACAAGAGATTTGTCTATACAAGACACAAACATACCCTTTCTTTTCTCCAATACAAATCCTTGATCCTCTTCATTCCTCTTTCCCACTGGCTTCATTAGAAGCATTATTTTCAAGAGGCAAGCAGGAGTGTGGTCGGTTTTGGTACTAAATAAACGCTCCAAAGGTACAATTGTACCACTGGTAGGTCTTCCTACTATTGGAGGCCTCATAATAGGGCCTTCTGTGCCCAGACTTGAAATAGGAGAGAGGTGGCTGCAAATCTACTGGAGAAAAAGACCTGAGATGACATGGATTGCCCCATTACAGAGGTGCCCTAAAAGGTGTGTGTGTGTGTGTGTTTGTTTGTTTCTTGTTAACATCAAAATAGGAGCCTACATTTTTACTTACTGGTAGAATCTATCTTCAGTCCAAACACCTGAACTTCACAAAGTGTGAGAATTCCTCCTTCTGGCTGGTGAACAGTCACAAACTGTCCTTGTGAAAATTCACAATAAAAACTCCGGGTTTCCCCTGGGCCCAAGTCGTCGATTGTAGCACATCTTGAAAATAAATCAATTCGTTTTATTTTACTTTTTAATATTAATTGTTTAAGAGCATGACCAGAAGCAAGCAAAGCTACATGAAAATTCGCAAAAAATAGAGCAAACGTTTGCTCTGCTTCAAGAATCAAGCTGTTGGGATCTGTCTGCATCATCACCATTCTGTTTGCTGTCCTGTGTCACAATCCTAAAGGTCTTAGAGATAATGTCTAATTAACATATAATACCTCGGATTTTTGGTGCCCCCTTCTTCTGTTGAGTTTCCAATTCGGATTTCAGCCCCATTTATCCGAAATGAACAGCAGTCTCTCCGATTGCTGATGCTGACCCGGAATACACGATACTCTGCCTTCAAGTCCACTATCCACCATGGATTACTTTCATACTCTGTGTGGGTGCATGAGCCTTGCCCATAGTCACCTTCTGTAGAACCGTCAATGGCATTACTAGCAACTGCTTCAGGACTGAAAGTGCTGGATTGGAAAGCCACTCCCAAGGGCGCCACATTGGGAACTGGACAGAAAAAGAAATAGGAAGAGCTTCTACTTTATTGCAGCTGTGGTCAAGCTCACTGAACAGGTAAAAGGTCCATATGATAACAACAATTCTGAATGTGGATCTCTAAATATTGTTGAACACATTGTTAACAACCGTTAGATCCAAAGTTAGTTTTATTTAGTATATGCCCATCGGAGTCAACAGGACTTACCTTAGTCATGATGACTGTCAATAGTCTTGTCAGTCTCAGTGAGCCTGCTCTAAGTATCACTAAAACTGGATTCAATCTGGCATATAATACAGTCCTCTTATAACACATATATTGAGGGCACATAAAGGATTGTCCTGGATGAACAGGATGAATTTGGAGCAATTGTTACTCTCCTAGTAAGCAGCTATCTTCAAGAAATAAGTATCTTATTGTGAAGTTTTTGAAGTTGTATCCATGTTGGTTTTTTGCAAACGTTATCAACAAGAAACATGAAATAAAACAAAAGCAAGAAAAAGAAGTTGTGGCACCCTAAAGACTGGCTGCTATACCTTAGAGCCCTACATGAATATTTTGCCCAAGTAGTCTCTGTATTCTAACTCTTATGTCTGACAAAGTGGGCATGTTCCATGAAAGCTTACATTAAAATATAGCAGTTTAAGGTGCCACAATGTCTTTTTTTTTTTGCTTCTGTTTTGTTTTGTGTTTGTTGTTGACAATATTGTGAAGCTAATACATTGGGACTCACTGGGAAGTGGTTTGTAGAAGGGGAAGTTTTAGAACCCACTATTTGGTCACAAAAGAGCAAGTGAATCAACAGCTCCTTTAGACAAATGTCCCCTGTCCAATTCAAGAAAAGAGCTCAGACATATATCTCAGACACCTTCAAATGACTAGAGAGATGAGGATTATGCAGCATCCCAGTATGGGCCCAAGCTATACTAGTTGCAGATTCCCTCTCCACAGATGAGATCTTCATGCTGAAGTAATCATATTTGCAGATGAAGCCCATGCTTACCTCCCAGTGACCAATCACTAAGCAAAGCAAGTTATTTTGCTAAATGTGGAACAGACCTCTCTTCTGTTTTGACCCTTAGTGAAAAGTAAGGATAGATCTCTGAAAATAACGAGAGTTTGGGCTCTACCACAAACTCAGCCCAAATATCTTCAGCCATGCTAGATTCAGTTGCTGGTAAGCCATCACCAAGTATAATATATGAAAGGAAATATAACAAGGTATCATTTAGATGTTAATATATAATCATCACAAAGTGTATTGACTCCTGTGGCACTAAAATTAGATTTGACTAATTTGCAATCTGAAGATCACTTAGGGTGCAATGACACAGCAAGGGAAATGCAATTTCCCTCACATTCACTCATTGAGAGGTTGCATTGAGGAATTCAGGTTTCCAACTGGCTACAGAGGAAGAGAGAGGAAGCCTTATTAACACATTGTTTGCAATAGCCCAGCAGGCGGCACTGTTAAAAGGGAACTGTCCTTAATTGTTTAAAAAGAAAGAAGAAAAATCTTGTCAAATGGGCCTTGTTCATGCTGCTCCCTGCTTGTGTGCTGGCTTCCCCCTCAATGCCCACAGAGAGGAGTCAAGGAGTTGAGGGAGAAGGTGCAAGTGTGTGTTTCTGTGTGTAACTTATCCTCCCTCACAAGGCAAGAGGTGAGGCAACTCTGAGATATTATAGGGCTTTACCACCATTTGCAAAGCTTCTCCTAACCTTGAAGAGCAAGCTTTGTTAAAGAATAAGCTGTATAACCAAGCAATTCAGCTTGCCCAGCCTGGGATGGCGCAAAGACAATCCTTCCCAATCTGTTCATTCACGGTAGTATTTACTACCCAAGTTGGGTAAACAGCCCACAGGCTGAAACCTACGTGTGTCAAGGTCTTCAAATTGTACTTGAACTGATGTTCCAGCACAGCTTGCAAGCATGTCAACTGGACTCAAGTTCTCTTGAACTTGTTTCAGGACGTTTTCCACATATGCACAATCTTTGGAGAAATCAACAAAGATCATGTGCACAACCTGTTTATTGTTAATAGAGAAGTTTTCAACTTCTTGCTTGGCCCTCGTTGCTTCTAATTTCTTGCAATTGGGGTTATAAAAGCACCTTGTTTAAAGCATTCAGTAGCAATGCTTTTTCCAATGCCACTGCAACCACCAGTCACTACTATGTGGGCACCAGACAACAATAACAGTTTAGGGCCGGTCAGTTACACAACTAGACAGAAAAGCAGCAGGAAGGCCTTGAGGAGGGTGACCTCATGGCCACCAGCAACAGAATGACACCCGTCATCTCTGTGAACGGGAGCCAAGAGAAGCCTAGCAAAGTACAGGAAGAAGATACTTCCACTCCCTCCCACAGCCTCTGCTTGACTCAACAAAAGGTGAGGAGGACCAGATATATGTGTGCACTACTCATCCTCCCTTACAATGCAAGAGTAATAGGGGAAAGGGTAGTATGCGTGCAGCTCATCTTTCTTTTCTGCATTGGTTCAGGCAATCCCATGCCTGAACCAATGCAAATGTATCCAGCTTTTGAAAAAGTATTATCCTTAGAGGCAGAGGGTAAATAGGGATGAAAGGAGGACTCTGGGTTGATCATGTAATCAAGGAAAACAAAAGTGAATTATCCTGCCCCAAAACTGTAGCATTTTTCACATTTTTTCCTGTGTACATAGCCTCAGCTAGAAGTCCCATTGAACTGAAGGGACTTGCTTCTTAGTGGACCTATATTGGATTACATTGTAAATCCCATTGAAATTGTAAGGAACAAGCTGCTATGACACAATTAATGGACGTCCCACTGCTTTCAAGTGATATCTCAAGATCAATTGTTTAAAAGTTGGCCTGTATGGAAAAGTACCTGGGTGCAAGTGGGGAAAGCTTGTGCACAACAGCAGGCATAAGGCAGTTGGGTAAAACTGCAAGATCATCTTTGCCCTAAAAGCAACTAAACACCAATTTTCTGAACAAAACCAGTGCTACAGATCTAAAGAAAGTTTACCACATTACATTTAAATTACTAGGAGATACACAGATCACAACTGATATTTAAGCTCAGAGGGAAGTACTCAGGGCTAGCTTTTATTTATTTACATGTTTATTTAATTTTCTTTATTGCTATTTGTATGCCACCCAACAAGACTACCCTATGGATATCTTACAACACTGTATTTTGAAATACTGTGAAATCAGTACAACAATGTGGGGGGGGGGACCGTTAAAATGTCATCACCAGCGAATAAATAGCATATAAAAATAAACATGGATGCCCAAAATTCAGTGGATTAAAAGATCTAAGAAAATCTAAGTTTATCTACATGTAAACCAATGAATATTGTGGAAAAGCAACATGGGAAGGATATTGTTGAGTCTCAGCAACATACCTTCAGATGCCCTCAGTGCTGGAAGAA